AGGGCATGTACATGTATTTGCACTAAACGCGCATCTGATGAAGTAGATTCAACTCTATGAAAGCTCAGGCTACCAATGACAGCTTGCAACAAATGTATTGTGCATTTTGATTGGCCAATAAAGATATCACTTATGGATTTTTGTTTGAAGCTACCAAATTCTGTTAAGTCTCAAAAGTGCTACAAGATCCCTTTACATACTGATTTTCCAGACCTTGACTATGTCTTTGAATTCTAATACAGTCCTCCCTCCATTCTTATGGACTTGGGATCCGCTCCCTTTGTTTATCCGGAGGAGATGAATGGAAGGGGACAAAATGGGGGTGCGTGTCTCCATTCAAGCCGATAGGGCTTGAATATACACGATTTTTCATTTTTGCAGGGGAGGGGTCTGGAACAGATCCCCTGCGAGAATGGAGGGAGGGAGGACTATACCTGCAAAGAGTTACTAATTCCAGAGTTCAGTCTGAAGTGCAACCCACCAGGTTTTTAAAAAATAATACTGCTATGAGATATTAATGAATAAATGCATTTTGAAGGCCCAAGCCAGGATTCTGAATGTGACTTGTTATAAATGAATCTTGGTGTTGCACAATGGACAAACACTGCCACTCTAAGCAGAAACTGGAATACAAACCACAGAGAGGTTTATGGTTTGTTTAGAATGGTGTTCAGAGTCACCACTATGGCTTCTCTCTCCCCTAATAAGCCAGACAAATAAGCCATGGTTTTCCTCAGTATTTATTTCTGTGGTTTATCCACAGTGCTGGATATTGCCAGGTTCAAATGTCATGTAGAACAAATCACAGACAAAATATCCATGGATTGATTAGCTATTCCCAGCTACAGCAAAAGCAACCAGGTAGCATCTTCTGGAATCCTGACTTATTGTGACATGAATGGTACCATTCAGAATTAGTAGTATGAACATTACAGACTTTAGTTCTTGTAAGCTTATCGAACGGCACTTAAGGAACGGGAACGGAAAAGAACGGAACGGAACAGGGCAAAAACACATGTTACTGGACAGGAGAATGCCACAGATGCCACCAGGAGTCCCCAAGCCATTACCCAGCCGATCCTGGTAGCCAATTTTTGAAGGACGATTTTGAACCGTTCTTCAAAAATTGGCTGCCAGGAACGGCTGGGGAACAACTTGGGGACTCCCGGCGGTATCGGTGGCATTCTCCTGTCCAGCAACATGCATTTTTGACCCGTTCCATTCCTTTCCATTCCCATTCTTGTAAGTGCCGTGCGATAAGCTTATTGGCTTTGTTGTGAGTCACTATGCTGCATCTCTTTATAGCCATCTACTGTTGATAGTGGTGGACTAGGATTCCAGGAGATCAGGGTTCTAATTTCCCCTCAGCCATGGAAATCCACGGTGAACCTTGGGCAAGTCACACTTTTCATCCTCAGATGAAGGCTATGACAAACTTTCTCTGAACAAATCTTGTCAACAAACCCCTCTGTTGGTTCACCTTAGGGTTACCATAAGTCGGCAACAAGTTGAAGGTAGCAACAAATTGTTGAGTTATCAGAGGTAAATAAGATCATCTTCAGATACCAACATCCATGTGTTACTGAAATCAAATAGATGCAGCATTTTATTTTGCATATTCACCATTATTTACTACACCACTTCACAGAAGTTCCATACAGGTTATATGCAGGTGCATCTATAGTGATACAATTGTACTAAGGTTGGAATTCTGTTGCTGACATGTGCAGATAACCTTGGGAGTTTTGAGTCTTTTATATTGTAGAAGGAGGTATTCAATACCTTCATGTACAATGTACAACTGACTTTCCTATTGCTTCCAAGTGGCCAGAGTTTGCTGTTATTTACTATCTGGTATGCTGGCAGCCATCCAAGCAGCACCTAGCTTTCATTCTACAGATGAAAAAGAACTAACTGGACCCTCTTGGAGTAACTGGAGATCTGGGACGGTGATGTCAACTCTTCTCTTGGCTGCTGGGTGCCACCTGAGTGCTGCCTGGCCCCCAGCCAGTAAATGGCTGTATCGCTGCCTGGCCCCCAGCCAGTAAATGGCTGTGACAGTGTGTTCTGGGTGGTGGGAAAGATGTAGGGTGCTGGAGTAAACAAGCAGCCTGATTTATCGGTAGCCAGCAGCTTTCTCCTCAGCAAAGGAAGGCTACTCCTCCCACGTCCTCCACAGTTCCTGTAAGTCTGTGTGAAAAGAAACCCCATCTACCTCTCCTTTTGCCTGCTTCACAGCAACACAGCTTTTCTTCTTCCTGAACGGATGGAATATTTCGCCCCCTATCTTTCCTGAATTGGATGATCAAGAAAAGAGGGGAAATTTATCCATTCTAAACTATCTCCTTATAACTGTTTTTTCAATTAATTCCACATATTTGATTACCATTTTCTCACTTAATTTTACTTATTTGACTGAAAAGGATTTATTGATTCTCCTAGTAAATTAATTGGCATTATAATTGATTGGTTGCTTCTGATTTAATTGATTAACACCAGAATTGAATTGTCATGTTTACCTGTTTAAATGGTTTAAATATTGAATGGCTGCTATAGCCTGAATTAACAGCTTGGCTCTTTTTTTAGGCATTACTCAACAGTTCTTGTTGGCATGTGATTAGCTATGTTCTCTGTCATTATACTCTTTTAGTTAGGCATACTCTTCTCTCAACACAAAAAAATGTTTACACTGTAGTGATTGGCAAATGAGACTGCACCACAGCAAACAAAAGAGCTTGCTGCAGGCCCAAAGCAAAGGAAAGAAGGAAGAAGGCATAAGAGCTAGACAACATAAACAGAAAAAACATGGGAGGCAAAGGAGGGGGACACCAATGGTGGGAGAGGGACCCCTCTTTGTGCTCTATTGGGTTTCACAGTTCAGATTTTCAGACTTAAGAGTATTTCTGATCCATCTTCAGCATTATCACCAAGCAAGAGGTGGAGATGACTCTGTTTCAAGACTGCTTAGGATTGCAAGAACCCTTTGTGAGAGATTAAGGTGTTCCCTGCCCAGATGATGAGGCTGGAGTAAAGGCATATTCCTACCTTCTTAACTGCATGGACTGAATGGTCACCAAGAGGCTTGTACAGTGGGATTCACACACTGTTGTTGCTGCTGTATGCCTCCAAGTCATTTTTGACATTTGG